CTGACGTACAGCCTCACAATCCCCAAGACCCTGACAATGCCGTCAAGGCGTGCTGGTTCGCAGCACCGTTTCTGAATGAAGGGAGATCACAGCTAGCCTGAAGCACTGAGCTCCTGCGCTGTACGACGTAGTACGACACGGCGGTAACGTGAAGTATGTGACCAGCGCGTATATAAGCTAGATATGATAAGTAGGCTACACAGTATAAGCAGGACATAGGCACCACGAGCGCCCGCATGCTCAAATCCTTCAATTTAGAGTTCACGCAAGATCAGAACTCTGCGACATCTTTACTGCAGGCCGATCTGATGCGACTGCTATGTGTATCACAGCGGCAGTGGTTGCATGATCAGCTTAGGTACTTCCTTACGACGCACTTTCCAACACACATTAATAGCTTGCATTGGCGCCAGCAGTTGTATCAGGGAACATGGCGGCGCCTCTTTGCGCCTGCAAGCAGCTGGCCCTGTTGATTATTTTCCTCGCCGCCTGCTCCCGTGAGCTTTCCCCAGCTTCCGCCCAGCTCATCACGACACCTGTCACGCAGCGGTCCTTCACGGTGGACGAGGCTGTCGCGCAGACCTGGGCCAGGGCAGCCTACTTCGACAGTTTCCTCAATGCTGGAAGCGCGAACGGCCCTCAAAACTTTGCCGCAACGCCTGTGGACCTGGACGGGGGTTTTGGCCCTCTTGGGACTTTCGTGGTAAATGTGGGCGTTGGCAGCCCACCGGTTACGTTGCCAGTGGTCGTCGACACCGGCAGCCACGTCAACTTTGTCCAGGGGCCAGATTGCATAACCTGCTCTAACTGCAGCCCATTCAATGGGGGCCCCTCCGATTGCCCATTTACAAACACGATCTACAACCCCGCTCTATCAAGCACAGCGGCCACAATCTCCTCATGTGCTGCGTGCGCGTCGGGGGGAATCGGAGCAACTGGGTGCAAGAACATAACGTCCATTTCCCCTGCCAACACGTGCCAGTTTAAGATTCAATTTGGGGCCGGCGATGCTGCTGGCCGGTATGTGAAGGACGTGGTTTCCGTGGGTTCTCTATCGTCTGGGAGTACGCCAATCTCCCTTGGGATCACAACGTATGAGTCACAATTTGATGGAACAGCGGGTCTGTTTGGATTTGGGCCAACCGACACCAGCTTGCCGTTCCAATTGAAGGCGGTGAGTCCTCAATCTTCCACATTCTCATTCAGAGTTCAGCTCATTCAGACATACCTTTAGTATTGGATTTGAGACTCCCAAGGTGCACTTCTTGGATGACGAATGAGGCTGGTAATGCTGACCTCAGCAAGGCCGCAGGCTGAAGGTTCGTCTTTGCATTTGCGATAAAGTCTGACGAGAATCTGGTGATTGAGATAGCTGATTATTGCAGGGCTCATACTGAAACAGGTCAATTTGACAATGTTGATCAAAGCATGAGGTGGTAGGCTGGTCGCGCGACTTGCGTTGCACAATGTCATTCGCACAATGCACAGAGTCATAGAAAGACAAGTTGTCTTGTAAATGTATCTTTGAGGGACCCACTGGCAGGCAGTTCTTGCTTAGCCTCCTGCAATAAATGAAAAAGAAGTTCCCCTAGGTTAAATCTGTGACATAATCTTTGACTGGACGAAAATACGGATCAATCTTTTCAGCACCTCAGGTTGCTGCCAGACAAGATTGGCAGTAGTTGAAAAGCTGAAGACCGACTCTTTGAAAACTCGAAGCTAGGCAGTGCAGGGCCATGCAAACCACTTCATTCCAATCGCCTTGAACTAAAGCGATCGTGTGCATTATTCCAGGCTGGCGCGGTGACTTCTTCCACTTTTGCCTTGTGCCTGGCCTCTGGTTACAACAAAGGCGGGACACTCTATCTCGGGGGGGCCCCCACTCAGCCCAGCGGCGTTACCTACACGACCCCCCTGCAGAGAAACCCCAACGTGCTTTTCCTTATCCCAAAACCAGTGGATGTCTTGCTCGATGGCAAGCCCATCAACGGAGCCGCTGCGGCGCTAGCGTCAGGGTCCAATGACTGGATCGTGGATTCAGGTCAGGTCTCAACAAATCAGGCTTAGAACTTGTGAACTGGGTGCGATCGATCTCTGGCTTGGTTCTAGAACAGGGACACCTGGTCTGGTTTGCACATACGGCCAGGAACACCGTGATGGCCAGAAGACTTTTTGGCCCCAGAAAGAGTGATGCAGCTAGGACAAAGAAGGTTGTTGATCACCTTAATCTATTGAGTCCTTCTCGCTTGATGGTCAACCCTGCATATATTCAGCAAGAGTTTCCTTGCTTATGTCCCCAGCAATTGCATATCGAGGTGGACAGGAGAAAAGATGAACTTCCTCATTTTCTTGTACAGGTACCACCTTGACGTATGTACCCACGAACCTTTACAACAGTATGTTCTCTGCCGTGATGGCCGCAGTCGGGTGCTCCAACTCTTTCCCTTCGACGCGGAATCCAGGCCGATCTTATATCGAGTGAGACATGCGCGCCTCTTACTTTCTTTCTTGCGCATAAGTGACCACTTACACATCCCAGCGTGACCAAAGACATCCAGTAGGAGCCAGAACGTGTCATAAGTCACTGTTTGATTGCTGAACCATTGGAGTGACCGAATCTGCTGTGCGTGCGTCCATCTTCGATCAACTCGATTTGACTGTAGCCACACTTCGGCGGTTTCCAGAAGTGTGCTTGCTGTCTTAAGAAGCTAGCTTAGAGTTTTCCATTAGACCACAACGTCTTCCTGCTCAGGAAGTCAAAGCATTCGCAGCTGCCCTCCGGCATCGCGTCACGCTGTTTGATTCCAGATATAGTGGACTGCAATATATATTCAGGGCGCTTTGTTTGAATACGTGTCGTTTGTCGATCAGAAGAGAGTGTGTACGCACCATCTTGTAGGTCACCTAGAGGAGCAGCTGCCTCTGTTCTTATAATACCGCCGTTTGAATTCGTGGTCAGCTGCGTCAACATTACCATCCGGAAAGTCTATGGTCCGTTTTCCAGTCCAATTTGATGAGATTGGCCTTCTTCCTACCTAGTTCGGCAGAGAGACAAGGCTAAGGTTGACATTGATGCCCCATGACCAGTCACGTGAACGGTGTAGTCGATTGGGTACTACTGACAGATCAGAAGGCGCTTGTGGTGAAAAGCGTTCTGGCCTCTCAGGCCTCCGTAGGTTCTGGGTGACGTGACTATCAGTAATGGTGCAGTCTCGCGTGCAATAAATCTGGATCAAATTGATCACCAATTAGTAGCTCACTCAGTTGTTTCTTAATCTGCTTTTGCAGCCTTACCTCGGGCTGCAATCCTCGTAAGCACGCTACTCTAATCTGCTCGTATTTGCACACGTCACTTGAAGAGTCAATGTAAGAATTGCAACTGCCAGTGAATCAGTTTCTAAGCTACTGTATGCGATTAGGCAGTAGTATGTCCCCCTTGTGAACATTTCTGCCACGTTTACAAGGCGTCGGACATTGGTAACGTCTGCCGATGATGAAACCCTCTCAAGTGCGTGCGACGTCGTCAGTACGAGGTGACGAAAGCACTTCAACTTGAAGTTACTCAAACCCACAATTTTGCCACTAATATGCTGCCCACTTGGGCTTGTGGACTTTTTCTTGTAAATGGCCCACCGCACTGCTTCACAGACTCGAAGCTCCACGTAGGTTTGAAGCACATACCAGTTTCCGCACTACGACTCATCCACAGGAATCGTATGAAAGGCTTGATACGAAAGGAACATCTCATTTGACCATACTCGGAGGTTGACGGGCGAGTAACGTTCTAGCCAAAAACTTCAATTTTCTACCTTGGTAGAAGGGTACATACGTTGACATCTAATCCATGCTAGTAATTAGGCTCTACTAGGTCACATAGTTTTACCCAAGGTACGCTAGCAGATGCTACGATCAACGAATCCCGTATGTTGTCTAGCTTGAAGATCCGCTGACGTTCATTTTTTCCGACATGCAGCGTTCATGACATTCAGCGATGAGGAGGTCTATGCGCGTTTTCCCATTCTGACGTTTGAGTTGCAAGGCACCACAACGGTTGCGCGGCCCAAGTCGTACTTAAATCTTAACTTCCGTAACGCGACCGGCCGATATGTCATGCCTGGGATCGTGAATGGAGGGGTCTTCAGCACTTATATTATTGGCGACACCTTCATGACTGATAACCTGGTAAGGGTCTGGTAACGCAGAATTGCAGATCGTTTTTCTTACCTTGTGATCAGTGATCAGCTCGTAAAACCAAAACCATTGTCAATTGTCCAAGCTTTTCTTACTCATGCATGACTGATTGTCCGTCTAATATTCTTCAACGCGCACAGGGATCTGGATTCGAGCAGTCAATTCTATCCTTGATCTTACGAGCTTGGAATTTCATTGAGAAAGACCTGGTTTCACTGGTCAAGTTTAGGTAGAAGCCGGCTTGATGATCTTGCCAAGAAATCAGAGAATCGCAAGCAGCAAACTTCAAGAACAGTAAAAGAATTGGAACCGCTGTGGGCAAGATTTGACTGACGTGTCCGACTCGAGAACGTAACAATCTGTTGAGAAT